ATGGCCAGATCCGGCCACATCTGGCTGTGGCTTGCCCAGTAGGCCAAGGAGTTGCACAGCAGCAGCTCCATATCCTTGGTGAGAGGCAGCCACCAAGGCCTGAGTGCTACCTGCCTGATGGTGGGGTCTGGTGCCTCTGGACCCTACCATGTCCTTGGCCCACACAGCTGGAAGGAAGGAAGCAACACACAGTTGCCAGCTGTTTTACCTGGCCTGAGCCCTTTTACCTCATGCCCTGCCCCCAAGCTACCCCAGCTGGGGTATTGGGGGTCCAAACTGATGCTGCAAGGCAAGGGGTCTCCATTCCACCCCCTTCCCCAGCTCCAGCCGGGCTTCTTGAGAGCAGTTTTGCCCAGCTGGAGCTAGAGATGGGGGTGGAATAGAGCCCTCTCACCTCACATGCCCAGCCTGGTTCCCCTCAGTACCCCAGCCAGGGTAGCTGGGCGGTGGGGAGCAGCATGACGCGAGGGGGGCTCTGCTACACCCCGCCCCCACCTCCAGTTTAGGCCAGGCAAACTAGCTAGCAGCTGGGTGCTCCTCCCTTCCCTCCCTCCCCTACTGACAGCCCCAGAACTGATTGGGGTAGGGTTGGGGAGAGAGGAGATTCAGCAGCATGGGTGTCTAGTGCCTCCCCTGACACCAGGCCGAGGGGGGGGTCCCTGGTGGCTGATCCCACTGGCCAGGGAAGTGGGTCCCCCGTGGCCGATCTCACTCACTGTAAAAATGGCCATGCCACTTCCAGAACTCCCGTGGACACTCCCAGAAGCGGCATGGTCGCTTTTGCTAGTGGCCTGCTCCCTGGCCGGCACTCTCAGTGGGGGCACTGGTGCTCCCGCCTGCCCCCCTGCCCACCAGCTAAACAGGGAGCATGGCCTGACAGGGGTTTACTGGTGCTCTCAGGGGTGCACATGCACCCCTGTACACGCCCTATGCATCGCCCCTATTCAGCAGCCTCCTCCAAAGCTGCTGGAGCACCCCAGCCTGCAGGCCAAGAGGTCTGGTGCAGGCAGGCTTGATCATCCCTACCCAAAAACACCGGTTGGGTCGGGGGTAGGGTTCTAACTCATGGTGCTTTGTATAAAGTGCCATGAGTTAGAGAAGAGCCCCTTATGTCTGTAGGTACCCCTTGACTACTAGCCATACATAATATTTTCCCATGCCCTTTTTCGTCCTTTATCAGTTTCCTACAGTTCTTGACATATGATTTATATTAATTACTATCAGTTTTCTGGTTTTTATGTTGGAATGGCTTATGTTCTCAGGGCCCTCAAGAATTATTTTATCAGGTACTAATGATAAGAGGTAGCATTTTTTAGAAGTGAGCATAGGGCAGAGAGGATCAACAAAACCAGCACCTTTTTTTATTCTTCTGAAGAGACATTATTCTTTCCCTATGAAATGTTGTCCTCTTGAGTGATGCAGGAGTCAAAAGGACAAGTTGGGATCCTCTAACTCAGGGGTTCTCAAACTGTGGGTTGTGACCCCCTGGGGGGTCGTGAGCAATTTAAAAGGAGGCCACAAACTTCCCAGGAAGTACACGCGGTGATGTGGGGAGGCAGCATGCAGCAGCGGTGTGGAAGGGTGGATGGTGGCGGTGGCAGCTGCGTATGAGCTCCCCGTCTCCTGCCGCTACCATCCAGCACTCAGGGTTGTGGTATCACAAAGTTTGAGAACCCCTGCTTTAACTACTATTAATCCATATTTTTTATCTTGTATACTGTTTTTATCTGCACATCTCAAAATACTCCAGGTGGTCACTGTCAGTATCCCTATTTTACAGATGGGATAACCAAGGTCCTGAGAAGCAAAGGCGTTTGCCCAGTGTTACACACAGCCAGGTGGACACTGAACTAGGAATACAACCTAGATCTCCACAGGTCTAGATTGGTAGTTTCCATACTTCCTTTTTAGGATGGAAGATTGGAATTATGCACATATCTGGGTGTCAGGTGATCCGTGCTCTATATCTAATTCCCAACTGTCTCTCTGCAAGATGATGGGCAAGTGATTTCCTTCTTTGACTCAGTTTCTTTGTCCGTAAAGGAGACAGTGCTTTTTTTTTAGTGCCAAAAAGACGCAAGATGCTAGAAAATAGCAAATTATTGCTCATATTGTTAAATGGGAAGAGACAAAGGTGGGTTATCTAACTGGTTATCCATGGCATACATGTTTAAAAGGCACTAGAAGATTGGGCAAAGTAAATGATGGCTGAGATCCTTAGGGCTCAGTTAGTCATTAGGAGAGAGGGTATTCCTGTAGAAACTAAAAAACTCATTCTGAAATTTGGGGGACTGGTGTCTGTTCTCGGCTTAGCGCTCTGATGTAGTTTGGTGTACTGCTGCTTTGTCCCTTGCATACATATGCGTTTCTCACCCAGGTAATCCTCATAGCTGGGATCAAAAGCCTAGGTTGACAGCCCAGGTCCTCTGATCTAGTCGAGCAGCACTCAGCCACACTTCCAAAAAGGTGTTGCAGGAATAGTATCTTTCTGCCTCCTCAACCCTGGGGTGGGGCATAAAGTTCTCTGTTATATTACTAAAAGCAGAGTAACTGTGGTAATCTACTAACCCAGGATCATGGATGTGCAAAATATTCTAGTCTGGCCTTCTCTTTCCCACTTTCACTTGGTATTGGGATGAAGACAAGAGTGAGAGACTTGCAGCCATTTACACTGGCTGCACACTACCCTGGGATTCACCACTGCAAATAGAAACATCCGCTAGTTAATTAAGCCAAGTTTCCATCCTCTTTTGCTTTCCAGACTGGCAGATTTTCCAGACTTTTCCTTAACTGAAGGGCAGAGATGTGGGAATTTCCAAAGAGATTTCTTTTTCACATGTATTTGACTAGTGTTAAATAGTTTTTAGCAACAAAAAAGTTTCAGGAAATATTTCAAGTCTTAAATTTCACTCTCCTTTTGTTTGTAATACTATACTACAGTCCTGCTAGTTTTCTGGTTGTCCATAGAATACTCCAATAAAGCAAATTAAATGCTAGCCTCCCTCCCCATTTAAACATAAACTAACCAAACTGAACAATTGTTTGAATTTTTCCATGTACCTTTTGAAGAAGTAAAGTAGTTATAAGCAGAATTTTATTTGCCCTTTGAAATTCTGCTTCAGTGAAGACATGGGAGCAGGTGTCTCCTTTGTGTTGTAAAATTGGTGTGCATAATTTGTTTTTAGCACATTTACACAAAGTTGGCATTAGAGATCAGGGTGCCATTAATTTGTATGACATAAAGCTTCTTTACTGAAATGACACAGATAGAGAGTACTTAAGCTGTGATGTAATCAGGAGATTCAAGCTTCAAGGTTGGCAACATTGAAGGAATAAAAATCTGCTGTATTTTACTCACAAAACTTTAGCAAATACATTGTATTCCCCTTCTCATGTGAATGAATGCATATATTAATTTTTGGAAAGGACTGTAAAAGTTCAGAGTACTAAAAATAGAATGACCATTGCAAAAATGGCTATTGTTTGTGTCAATACTGCCCTCTACTGGGTCAAATGAGAACTACCTGACTGTGTCATGGCCCCAAAAGTTAACTGAATTTTTCCTGTAGCTCAAGTGATTTCATAGATGTTAGGGTCTGGAAGGGACCTTACAAGATGATCGGGTCCAACCCCCCAAATTAACAACAGATGTCCAGCTTTTAAGATTTTCATGAAAATATCTCACTTTCTTTACAAAAGCAGCCCACAGGTTCTCATGGTCCTTAATATATTTAGTTCCCCAGCTGCCCGAGGGGGCAGGGAAGAGCCATGATATAGAACAACATTTTTGGAGCCAAGATGAAAGGAGCTCTGTTCCTGATGCCACTGTGAAGTGCGTTGTTGGTTTTGTGAAAGGCTAGTGACAGCTGTAAAGTCCTACCTGGGTACACATTGCTCCTTAAAAAAAGGAGTTTGTTTATTTTGGATTTTTCCCAAGCCACCCCATTCTGTTTTATTCCTTTTATATTTGCTGTAGATTTTCCAGACCTTACTGACACCATAAGCCAATTTTTTTCCCCTGTTTCTTGACCCCTTTCTAGGATAAAGATTGGTCAAGATAATTGGCCCTGTGTAATTTGTACTTATAGCAGTAATTATCTACATCATCATAGTGGCTATTTCTGTTTGGGACAGATCCTGAGATCAACTTAATAAACTTTATTACTTTGTCCTTATTTCAACAAACTCCCATTGACTTTCCTGGGAGAGCACTTACTTTGATTATGTCTGTCTGGTCTGGGAAATAGGGTCCTCTTGTTCATTTAACTCCAAAAGACCCTCCTGGTGGAATGGCAGCCTCTGGAGCATCAGGACAAAAAATTGTACAGGGTTGTAACTGTTTTGTGGTGTACGTTTTCTTTGTAAGATAAATACACTTTTTTTGGATCCAGGCTATAACCTACAATAACTTGTAAGTGAAATGCTAGAACTAACATATACTGTTTAAAGGAATTTATGGGGCTAACAATGAAACTGCAGTGGATTGCGTAGACTCACATTGGAGCTACACTGTCTTGTGTATTTTATATAAGGTCTGTACAAATGGAGCATCTACAGTACAAGAATTTGGTGGTAGACCATGCTGGGGGAGAGGGTCTGTTGTTAGGGTCAAGTGTACTCCCCAAACTCCCCAAAATGTTCACTGTCACCTGCCTGCCTACCTGATCTATAGTATTTATAAAGCACCAATTGCTGTCAGCTTCAGGCAGTATTCTAGCTCTATCCTCCCCTTATGTCACTATGTAGGATTCTCCAGTGGTCTCACACGTCTCAGAGTCTTTTTTGGGTATTTCTTTCTCAAGTCTGGAAGGGTCTTGGGGGTGTTTTTATTGTACGAAGGATTGATGTATGGTGTTTTTCCTTGTGTCTGACAGGTTGTTTATAAGAATAATGACATCCGTCTGGAACTGTCTCGCTTGGCAAGAATTGGTGACACCAAGATGAAGATCTACGGGGAGGTGAAGTTCACATGTGAGAATGTGGCCACTTTGGATCCCATCAGTTTCGAGACCCCTGAGGCGTATATCAGCCTGCCCAAGTGGAACACCAAGCGAATGGGCTCCATCTCCTTTGACTTTCGTACCACTGAGCCTAATGGACTAATCCTCTTTACCCACGGCAAGCCCCAGGAGAGGAAGGATGCCAGGAGCCAGAAGAATACCAAAGTAGACTTCTTTGCAGTGGAGCTCTTAGATGGGAACCTCTACTTGCTGCTTGACATGGGCTCCGGCACTATCAAGGTGAAGGCCACCCAGAAGAAAGCTAATGATGGAGAATGGTACCATGTGGATATCCAGCGAGATGGTAGATCAGGTAGGAGGATAAAGTAATCTGAAATAGGTTCACTTTTTTGGCTTCTGATGGCACAGGGTGTAAACTTCTGGGTTTTTAAGATTTCTTTGGGCCTGCTAGAAGAGAAACACTTTCTTGCCAGAACTCAGTGTTATTCTATATATTTTACCCAAGAGAATAAAAACATTTTTGAAGAGCCAGGTATGAATGAGATGTTTAGTGTGAGCTGTGGAATAATCCAACAGAGAGGACAGAACTAGTTCATCAGCATCTTTCTCTTTAACCTGTGTTACCCAGGTGGTACTCCAGGAGAAGGGACTGAAGGGATCAAAGCAGGTGCACAAGCACTGTGGGAGGTGTAGGGACTCTCCTCCCCCTATAGAGTAGAGCCAGACCACCAATGGGGACTTAACCATATATCTTTTAATGAGCAAACAGTAGTGGGAACATAACCAGCATAAACCAGGGGGTATAGGGGACACTACAACACCCAAAGGGGGCAGGAT